GGACAGGGCAGGGAGGGAGGGGATATCAGTGGGGGGAAAAGGAGAAACATCTGCAACAAAAATTAATTAATTAATAAAATAAATAAATTAATTAAAAATGCATAGAAAAAAATTTAAAAAAGAACATGCAAAGACATTTGAACACATGGAGGCTAAATAGCATGTTATTAAACAATGAATGGGTTACCAAGGCGATCAAGGAAGAAATTAAAAACTTCCTGGAAACCAATGAAAATGAATGCACAACAGCACAAAATCTATGGGATGCAGCAAAGCAGTTCTGAGAGGGAAGTTCATAGCAATACAGGCCTACCTCAAGAATCAAGAAAAATTTCTAATAGACTGTCTAACCTCACTACTTAAAGAACTTGAAAACAAACAAAAAGAAAACTCCAGAGCAAGTAGAAGGAAGGAAATAGTAAAGATCAGAGCAGAAATAAATGACATAGAGATCAAAAAAACAATTCAAAGGATCAATGAAATAAAGAGCTGATTTTTGGAAAAGATAAACAAGATTGATGGACCTTAGCTAGACTCACCAAGAAACAGAGAGAATCCAAATACACAAAATCAGAAATGAAAGAGGAGAAGTAACAACTGACACCACAGAAATACAAAAGATCATTAACAACTACTATGAACAATTAATTATATGGCAACAAATTCGACAATCTAAGCGAAATGGACAAATTCCTAGAAACACATAGTCTCCCAAAACTGGACCGGGAAGAGATAGAAAACTTGAACAGGCCAATAACAACCAAGGAAATTGAAGAGGTAATCAAGACTCTCCCAGCAGCCCTGGCCAGTTTGCCTCAGCAGTTAGAGCTTCGGCCTGCGGTCCAGAGAGACCCAGGTTCGGTTCCTGCTAAGGGCATGTACCTCAGTTGCAGTTTGTCCCTGGCCCTGGTTGGGTTGTGTGGGTGGCAGCCACTTGATGTGTCCCTTTCACGTCAATGTTTCTCTCTCCCTCTCTCCCTCCCACTCTATCTGAACAAAATATGGAAAAATGTCCTTAGGTGAGGATAAAAAAATTTTAAAAAAGACTCTCCCAGCAAACAAGAGCCCAGGCCCGGATGGCTTCACGGGGGAGTTTTACCGAACATTCAAAAAAGAACTAACACCCATTCTCCTCAAACTATTTCAAAAAATTCAAGAAGAAGGAAGACTTCCAAACTTGTTTTATGAGGCCAGCATAATTCTAATTACAAAACCAGAAAAAGACACTATAAAGAAAGAAAACTACAGGCCAATATCGCTGATGAACATAGACGCCAAAATCCAGAACAAAATACTAGCAAACTGAATCCAGCAATACATCAAAAAAATTATTCACCATGACCAAGTGGGATTCATTCCAGGGATGCAAGGCTGGTACAATATTCGCAAATCAATAAATGTGATACACCACATAAATAAAATGAAGACTAAAAACCACATGATCATATCAATAGATGCTGAAAAAGCATTCGACAAAATCCAGCATCCATTTCTGAAAAAAACACTCAGCAATGTGGGACTAGAGGGATCATATCTCGACATAATAAAGGCCATGTATGAAAGACCTACAGCCAACATAATACTCAATGGGCAGAAACTAAAAGCATTTCCCTTAAGAACAGAACAAGACAGGGATGCCCACTTTCGCCACTCTTATTTAACATAGTACTGGAAGTCTTAGCCACAGCAATCAGACAGGAAGAAAAAATAAAAGGGATCCAAATTGGAAAGGAGGAAGTGAAACTCATTATTTGAAGATGACATGATATTATACATAGAAAACCCTAAAGACTCCATCAAAAATCTACTAGACTTAATAAATGAATTTGCCAAAGTAGCAGGATACAAAATTAACGTCAAGAAATCGACGGCATTCTTATACACCAATGCTGAACTCACAGAAAGAGAAACTGAAAAAACAATCCCATTTACCATCAGCAAAAAAATTAAGATACCTGGGAATAAACTTAACCAAAGAAGTAAAGGACCTATTTGCAGAAAACTACAGGACATTGAAAAAAGAAACACAGTAAGATATGAAAAAAGGAAGCACATACCTTGTTCATGGATTGGAAGAATTAACATCATTAAAATGTCCATATTACCCCAATCTATAGATTCAATGCAATCCCCATCAATATACCAACAACATATTTCACAGAACTAGAACAAATACTTCAAAAGTTCATATGGAACCAAAAAAGACCCTGAATAGCCACAGCAATCTTGAAAAAGAAGCACAAAGTAGGTGGGATCACAATACCAGATATCAGGTTATACTACAAAGCTACTGTAATCAAATCAACCTGGTACTGACACAAGAACAGGCATACAGACCACTGGAACAGAACAGAGAACCCAAAATTGGACCCAATACATTATGCTCAATTAATATTTGACAAAGGAGGCAAGAGCATACAATGGAATAAAGACAGCCTCTTTAATAAATGGTGTTGGGAAAATTGGACAGCTACATGCAAAAAATGAAACTAGACCATCAACTTACACCATACACAAAAATAAACTCAAAATGAATAAAAGACTTAAATGTGACCCGTGAATCCATAAAAATCCTAGAAGAAAATGTAGGCAACAAAATTTCCGACATCATACGCAGCAGAGTTTTCACTGATACATCACCTAAGGCAACTGAAACAAAGGAAAAAATGAACACATGGGACTACTTCAAACTAAAAAGCATCTGCACAGCAAAAGAAACAACCATCAAAATGGAAAGGCAACCAATGTATGGGAGAGCATCATTGCCAATGACACATCAGATAAGGGGTTAATTTCCAAAATATATAGAGTGCTCATACAACTCAACAAAAGGAAGACAAAGAACCCAAGTAAAAAATGGGCAGAGGAGTTGAATAGACACCTCTCCAAACAGGACATACAAATGGCCGAGAGACATATGAAGAAATGCTCAATATCACTAATCATCAGAGAGATGTAAATTAAAACATCAATGAGGTATCACCTCACACCTGTCATAATGGCCGCCATCAACAAATCATCAATCAACAAGTGTTGGCGAGGGTGTGGAGAAAAGGGGACTCTAGTACACTGCTGGTGGGAATGCAGACTGGTGCAGCCACTATGGAAAACAATATGGTGTTACCTCAAAAAATTAAAAATTGAATTGCCATTTGACTCAGTGATCCCACTTCTAGGAATATACCCTAAGAAGCCTGAAACACCAATCAGAAAGAATATATGTACCCCCATGTTCATAGCAGCACCATTTACAATAGCTAAGATCTGGAAGCAGCCCAAGGGTCCATCAGTAGACGAATGGGTAAAAAATTTGTGGTAAATATACACAATGGAGTACTATGCAGCTATAAGAAAGAAAGATCTCTTATCCTTTGAGACAACATGGAGGGACCTGGAAAGTATTATCCTAAGCGAAACAAGCCAAGAAGAAAAAGACAAATACCACATGATCTCACTTATTTGTGGAATATAATGATCATAACAGTCTGAGGAATAGGGTAGACCCAGAAACATGGAAGTAGAGTACAGACTGACAACCCTCAGAAGAGGGGGTGGGGGGGGGGGGAAGAGATAAACCACAGAACGTATATGCATGTATGCGTAACCAATGGACATGGACAAAGCCGGGTACGGGGTGGGGAGCATGAGGGGAGTGTGTCAATGAGGTAAAAAAGGAGAAACATATGTAACAAAAATAAAATAAAATAAATGAATATTAAAAAAAATAAATAAAATATAATTGACTTAAGAAGAGAAAATATAAGTGGACCTATAAAAAAACACACACGTCCATTTAGCAATGAGGAAGACCTTCCTCACAGCTATCACTGTCCAACAATGTTATGAACTAATTAGAAAGCAGTGAGCTTCTCATCACTGAACAAAGCTGGAAAACCATCCATCAAGGATACTTTATTTTATTTATTTATTTTTTAAAAGTATTTTTATTGATTTTTTTTTTAGAGAGAAAGGAAGGGAGAGAGAGATAGAAACATCTATGTGACAGAAACACATCGGTTGGCTGTCTCCTACATGCCCCTACTGGGAATCAAGCCCAAAACCCAGGCATGTGCCATGACCAGGAATTGAACCGGGACCTCTCAGTCCATGGGACAACACTCAATCCACTTAGCCACACCAGCCAGGCAAGGATGCTTTTTTTTTTTTATCCTCATTTTTTGATATTTTGTTCAGAGAGAGTGGGAGGGAAAGAGAGAGAAAAACATCGACATGAAAGGGACACATCGAGTGGCTGCCTCCCCCACGACCCAACCAGAGCCAGCGACAAACTGCAACCAAGGTACATGCCCTTAGCGGAAACTGAACCCGGGTCTCTCCAGACCGCAGGCCAACGCTCTAACCGCTGAGCCAAACCAGCCAGGGCTGGCAAGGATGCTTTTAAAGCAATGGTCAAGGACTGGCTGGATGGTGCACCTCTGAAATTGCTGAGGTCCCATGAAGGTATTATAATCATACCCAGCCTGTGTTCTCCAATCTTCTGTAGCATGTCTGTGTAATATTATGTAACTATTTTAGTCTCACACTTTAGATTTTCTCTAAATTTTCTCCCCCTTCCTTCAATTTTAAATTGGAGTTATATAATTTTCTAAGACTTTGATATCTTCCTCACCAAACACCACCTACCCAAGATCAAAGCTATCTACCTCCATTTCTAAATTCAGTTTGTTGATCCACATTTAAATTATGTGAGAATTCCGGTTTGGCTCAGCGGTTGGAGCATCAGCCTGCGGACCAGAGAGGACCAGAGAGTCCCGGGTTCGGTTTCTGCTGGGGGCGCATACCAAAAAAATAAAAATAAAAATAAAAATAAATAAATAATCTGAGAATTCCTTTCTTTCAGTTAGATTTCTACTTTTTGTGGCCCAATGTACTCTGGAGTCAAGCCCAGTTACTTTTCCTATCAAAACAGAGAACTCCAGCACAATTACTTTAATTTCTCCTACTTTCAACAACAGCCCAGTTTGGCAACCAATACTTACCATCAAACTGATAGTGCATGGTTTGATGGATGCGTTCTGTGACACTGGCTAGCCAGTCTTGGAAGGATAAGGTCACCTGTACTTCATCTAACAGCTGACCGCAGGCTAGAAAAAAACAACAAAATGTTTTAGTAACTTTTTTTTAAATGAGAATCATCTCTCTCTTTTTAAAAAAATATATTTTTATTGATTTTTTTTTTTTTTAGAGAGACAGAAACATTGATGTGAGAGAGAAACATTGATTGTCTGCCTCCTGCAGGCCTCCCACTGGAGATTGAGCCCGCAACCCAGGCATGTGCCCTGACCAGAAATCAAACTGAGACCTCTGTCCATGGGACGTTGTTCAATCCACTGAGCCACAGTGGCCAGGCTATATGCTCTTTAATAGAGAGATACTAATGCTATAGCTACTATCCATTTGAAATTAAAATTCTATTAGGTAAATGCATATAGTGATAATTTACATTAAAAGCTCTTTTCTTTCGTCCAGCTGGTGTGGCTCAGTGGTTGAGCATCGACCCATGCATCAAGAGGTCACCGGTTTGATTCCCGGCCAGGAAACATGCCCAGATTGTGGGCCCGACCCCCAGTGGGGGGCATGCGTGAGGTGGCCAATCGATGTTCTCTCTCATGGATGTTTCTCTCTCTCTCTCTCCATTTCACTTCCTCTCTCTCTAAAATCAATAAAGGAAAAAAAATTTTTTTAAGAAAAGCTCTTTTCTTTCTTCTTTGTGCCAAAGCAAATGATGTAAATTTGTTGAAAATCTTCTACTTGATACAGTTGATCTGTGTATTTCCTAACTTTCCAAAAACATTTATTCATGGAACGTGCAAGTTCTTAATTAGTTAATTAAGATTTGGTCTTGTGTTTTTTAAAATATGTTTTTATTAATTTTTTAGAGAGAGAGGAAGAGAGAGAGAGAAACATCGATGTGAGAGAGAAACATCAATCAGCTGCCTCCTGCATGCCCCCTACTACAGATCGAGTCCACAACCCAGGCAAGTGCCCTGACCGGGAATCAAACCAGGACTTCTCAGTTCATGGGACAATGCTCAATCCACTGAGCCACACCAGAAGGGCTTTTTTTATATTTATGTATTGGTCTTCCAAATCAGAGTATGAGGGCAGGGATGATGTCTCGTTTTTAATCACCCAGCCATATTACATGGTCAACCATATCATAGCAAATATTCCATAAATACTACCAAAATTGAACTAAACTATTTTCACAAAATGTATAAGAAGAGTTTTAAAAAGGTTGATTCCCGCCCTGGCCGGTTTGGCTCAGCGGTTACAGCATTGGCCTGCAGTTTGGAGAGACCTGGGTTCAGTTTCCACCAAGGGCACATACCTCGGTTGCAGTTTGTCCCTGGCCCTGGTTGGGTCGTGTGGGTGGCAACCATTCGATGTGTCCCTTTCATGTTGATGTTTCTCTCTCTCTCTCTCTCCCTCCCACTCTATCTGAACAAAATATCAAAAAATGTGCTTGGCTGAGGATAAAAAAAAAAGGTTGATTTCCCAAATGTCTGAGCTTAATTATTCTTGGTAGAAAAGTGATTGATATATGTTAGCTCTTAACATATTACTGCCCCAAGCTCTTAAATCTTTTACTTTTATATTGATGCCCCAAGTCTCTTATCGTTTAACCTTGCCCTAAGCCTCTCATTCCAGGAAACCAAAACCCATCACTCCAGTCAGGCGGAACATGTTTCTCTCTCTCTCTCTCTCCCCCACGCTATCTGAACAAAATATCAAAATATATCCTCGGGTGAGGATAAAAAAACAAAAACAAAAACAAAATAAAAAAATAAAAATCCTTAGTCTGTATGAGCTGGTTGCTACTCTCTTCTTAGAGGTAGTGCGGCAGGTTAATTCCTAATAAACCTGCACTTCTGGAGACCCTGCACCACCTCGTTCCGCCTCGTTCTTTATATATATATAATGTTATGTTCAAATTAAGTCATCTGTCTTCAATAATTCAGAACAATAGCCATGCCATTGTTTTGTTTGTTTTTAATCCTCACCCAAGGACATTTCTGTATTTATCTTCATATAGAGCAGGATGGAGAGGGGGAGGGAGAGAGAGAGAAACATTGATGTGTGAGAGACACATCAAGTGGTTGCCACCCATACGACTCCAACTGGGGCCGTGGGGCCAGGGACAAACTGAAACTGAGGCATGTGCCCTTAGTGGGAACTGAACCTGGGTCTCTCTGGTCTGTGGGCCAACGCTCTAACTGCTGAGCCAAACTGGCCAAGGCAATGCCATGGTTTTTTAGGTACGATTTCAAATTGCATTAACTGTGGAGAACAGATTACATTTTTCTTTCTCAATAAATATTTATCACTGAATAGTTATAAAACATGTTTCTTTTTTTAAAATCCTCACTTGAGAATATTTTTCCATTTATCTTCAGATAGAGTGGGAGGGAAAGAGGAGAGAGAAACTGATGTGAGAAAGAGAGAAACACATCCACCAGTTGCCTCCTGCACAACCCCGATCAGGGTCGGGGACCAAACTGCAACCGACGTTCGTGCCTTTGACTGGAATTGAACCCGTGACTCTTTGGTCTTCAGGCCAATGCTCTAACTGCTAAGCCAAACTGGCCAGATCAAAACATGTTTCTTCTTCAACTTTAAATCTCCATACCAACTGCATGTGAATAAACAAGAAGGGGGAAATCCTACAAAATACCTCTGCCAAAACATGTAATTTTTGTTGTATTTGTTATTTAAAATATACCGTTTGGTTTTGCCCATGATTTGAGACCAATGGGACAGGAAAGATTTCAGCCTCAGTGCCTTCTAATATTTATCTTAGCATTCTTTGGGGGACACCATGCAATGTTTCTTTGGATTTATTGCCCTTACCTTCTTTCAGATGATTTTCCACCTTTTTAGCCTATCCTCAGGCAGGGAAACTTACCCTGCCTTTTTAATGAAGAAGCAACCACAGGCTTTTTCAGGCCACTTTTCCTTAAATTACTGCTCACTGCATCTTGAGGCAACAGTGAGCTGTTCGTCTGTGCACCTAAACCATAAATCAGTATATTGTTTAATAACATATCTATAGAATATAAATAGATTTTATATTAATTTCTGAAGAGTCTGAAACATAAAAAGTCTTTGATAATTTCTAAGTTATCTTTGATAATTTCTAAATTAGCATTAGCCTTTAATATATAATATTTTAAGTTTCTGAAGCTCTTTAAAGTAAAGTGGGTGGAACCCAAAAGTGAAAGGAAGAAAAAAATTCACTCATTGCTCCCACCTCTCAGAATCATTATTAATTTTCTGGTTAACTATCTTCCATTTTTTCTATGAATAGATTATTTTGCTAGTTTTGTGATTTTAAGTAGCTGTGATTTTACCAGGACTACCAGATTTAGCAAAAAGAAAAATTTTCATTTCAAATAAATGAAAATTTTTGTTATAAATTGTTTTTTTTCCCTTTATTGATTTTAGAGAGAGGAAGTGTGAGGGAGAGAAAGGTAGAAGCATCGATGAGAGAGAACATTGATTGGTGCCTGCTACATGCCCTCACTGGGGATTGGGCCCACAACCTGGGCATGTGCCCTAACAGGGAATCCAATCAGCAATCTCTTGGTGCATGGGTTGATGCTCAACCAGTGAGCCACACTGGCCAGGCCAAATAAATGATTTTTAACAAAAGTACGTTCCAAATATTGCATGGGACATACTTATACTAAAAAATTCTTGTCCAGCCAGTGTGGCTCAGTGGTTGAGCATCGACCCATTCACCAAAGAGGCTGCAGGTTCAGTTCCTGGTCAGGACACATTCCCTGGTTGTCCTGATCCCCAGTGGGGGGCATGCAGGAAGCAGCCAATCGATGTTCTTTTTCATTGATGTTTCTATCTCTCTTTCTCTCTCACTTCCCCTCTCTCTCTCTAATCAATAAAGGAAAAAAAATTTTTTTTTTAAATTCTTTGTTTATCTGAAAGTCAAGTTTGAGCATTCTGTACTTTATCAGGCTACCCGAGTGACCTAAACATTTCTCTAAATTCTATTTAATCATTTTGAATGGTTGCCTGATATTCTAACAAGTGGTTTTGACCTGGGCCCCGAGGCTAAGGCGACTAGATTCCTTTCTTATGTGGGCCTCTTGACTAAGGCAACTAAATGACTCCATTTTTATCATCAATGGACCTTCCTTGATATTTTTCCAATAATAGGTTAATTACCCCTAGAAGTAAAGGAATTTTGCCTAAGGTTATAGTTGCCCCACGTGTTGGGAGGTATTTGCAGTTTCTGAGTATCGGAAACTGCAAATCATGAGCCCAGTGAATAATGCTAATTTTGACTTCTGTAATCGCTGTCACATCCACTACTGTTGGGGGGGGGGGGCAAAAGGGGTATGGGGCTTCTGTCTTTAAAATCAGAAGAGCAAGAAGAATAGGGGCTGAGGCCTCTGGGGAAGCTGTAGGCCCCCAGCCCACTGGTGTAATGAAGTGCTCCTTTACAATTCGACTGTGCATCTCTAGTTATCTCACTGACACGTTACAACAGTTTTATCATGGTTCATTTACCTACCCCTAGTTGTTGACCTTTAGTTGTTTCTAATTTTTTAATACTATAAATAACCATAAAATTAGCATCTCTGGACAAAATGCTTTTCCTGTACCAAGGATTGTTTCCTTAGAAAAGATTATTTAGAAGTGGGCTTCTGTGGCAAAGGGTAAGAACTTTTTTTAATTTCATGTTTTTCTGGGAAAGACCAATAAGTAAACATTTAACAATAATCTCTGTTCTACATTGCTGCTAGAATTACCTCTTACAAAAATGATTGTGTTGCTTTGTTTTTCCACTTTTCTCCAACTTCCCAGCACCAGAACTCCTGTGCATGATCACCCGGCCCACCACTAGCAATACTCCCTATGAGTAGGAGCCTTTTTTCAGCTTCTTAACAGATAATCATGCCAACTTACATTACACTAGCCATGCCAGAGAGCCTAAATTTCACCTTTACCTGTGGTCTCATCATTAAAAAAATTTTTTTTTGCTAATTTGGTAGCAAAATTTATCTATTTTAATTTTGTATTTCTAAAATTTCTGCATTTCTCTGTTCACTAGTGAGTTTGGAGTTTGGTCCACATTTGTGGACCAGGTAATATTTTCTCTTTATTTAGAGTCTATGTCTTTTGATATGTATCTGGTAGGGTCCTTCATCATTTTTATATTGATTTATAAGAGTCCTTAACTGACAGTAGTATTATTTGAATTAAATTCACATATATAAAATATGTGTGTGTGTGTGTGTGTGTGTGTGTGTATGAATGAAAATGCAGGTAACAAACTATATTCCTACATTGGTGTGAAAAGATAATGAATTATTGTCATAAGTTTTTAAAAAGACTCTATGGATAAAAACCTCTTAACACTGTCCTAAGGTAGGTTAAGGTGTAAGACTAGTCTGAGTGTTTAAGGGATGAACAAACATATTCAATAATAAGAGCTGAGTTTAATTTGATCTTATATTTAGCCAGAAAAACCTACTCTTAGCTTGATTGGACAAAGAATCATCAATGGAGAGTAAAACTTTTTCATGAAAAAAAAACATATAAAAACTGTTTCTTGTAATTGCTGAGACTCAGTGAAACAAGTAAAACAATTTCTAAAGATAACACCATCAAACAAACAAACCAAACAGCTTCTCACCAGATATATCATCCTTTTTCCTCTTTTTTGTCTTAGATGGAGTAGACTCACAAGCTGATACTGTTGATTCTGAATGGCAACCCAACTGGGGCACAATAATCTCTTTAAGACCTAAAATATAACAGATTTCTAAATTATTACTACTACCCAGGAAGAAATATGGACCTCTACTTAGAGAATAATTAATTTATAAATATCCCAATCCCCAAACAATGGAGTGATTGCCTACATTAAAATAAATTACTTTCAAATGCAAATCAAAATGACAATGACATACCACCTCACACTTGTTAAAATGTCTATTATAAATAAGACAAGAAATAACAAGCACAGGAGAGGATATGAAGAAAAAAAACCCTCATACATTGCTGGTGGGAATGAAAACTAACACAGCCACTATGGAAAACAGTATGTAAGTTCCTCAAGAAATTAAGAATAAAGCTAACATATGACCGAATAATCCCTCCTCTGGGTATCTACCCAAATAATTTGAAAACATTTATTAGTAAAGATATATGTATCCCTATGTTCATTGCAGCCTTATTCACGGTAGCCAAGACATGGAAACAACCTAAGTGCCCTTCAATGGATGATTGGATAAAGAAGATGTGGTACATATATACAATGGAATATTACTCAGCCATAAGAAAGACTAAAATACTGACATTTGTGTCAACAAGGATGATCTTGAGACTATCATGCTAACAAAGTCAGTCAGATGGAAAAGGACAAAAAGCATATGATTTCACTTATATGGGGTATATAAAACAGAAAGCAATGAACAAAACAACAAAATAAACAAATTCATAGACACAGGCAACAGTTTGAAGGTTAACAGAGGGTGAAGGGGTAGGAGGGGGATGAAGAGGGTAAAGAGGGTTAAATATATGGCAGACTAGACTATGTATGGGTGGTGAGCACACTATGCAATATACAGATGATGTATTATAGACTTGTATATTTGAAACATATACAATATTATTAACCAATGTCACCCCAATTAATTTAATTTTTAAAAAAGATTGTGGACCTGCAAAAAATAAAAAAATTTCTTTAAAGGACAGCCCAAAACATATTTTTGTTCCTGGACCATTAACTTGATAGGAGCCTCCACAGAGAAATGTAAAACTAAAAAGTTGGGAGCTGCTGCCAACTAAAATTTTTAAGAAATGAAAGTAGCCCTTGCAGTTGTGACTCAGTTGGTTGGAACGTCGTCCTGTGCACTAGAAGATAGCAGGTTCAATCTCTGGTTGAGTGTATGGGAGGCAACTGATCAATGTCTCTCTCTCATATCAATGATTCTCTCTCCCTTCCTCCTCCTCTAAAAAATAATAAATAAATAAAATTTTCATTACCTTAAAAAAAAGAAATGAAGGTAAAAAGCATCTACAAGATAAAAATATGTTAACAACAACAAAAGACTTGAAACTTTAAAGGTTTTCTTTTGAGCAAGGTACTTTTCTCCATCTTCAAAGGCAAGAAACAAGCCAGAATAAAGGGAAATTTTTTGTTCTTTGTTTTTATTAACACAGGGCAAATGTGGAAAAAATGTGTAAAAAAAAAAAAAATCAAAGCAAAGCTAACTTAACTACATTGTCTCAATGAAAATGTCCAAGTCTTTTGATCATTAATTTCAACCAACCAACCAACCAACCAACCTTTATGCAAGTGCTGACTGGGATTAAAAGAAGGAACGCTTTTCATTTGAATTACCTAGCAACTGCTTCTGAAGGTTGCTAGGACAATCTCCAAATGCCATCAGTGGAACTCTTTCACTCTCATTTTAGAAAAACAGTGTGTGTCAACCATACTACCTACCGCTGGAATCAAAATTTAGGAAGTCTGAGAATTCCTGAGCCAATGTCTCGTCACTGGCAAAGGCACAGATGCAAGCAAAGAAATGAATGCATCTCTGTGCTGCCTCATCCTTGGAGGCATTCGACTTGTGTGATTTCAGAGTCTGGCAGGAACAGAAGAAACGACGTTCAGGCAAGCTTTTGGAACTGATTTTCTGCACAAAAGATATATGCAAGTACCCCAAACTATGCTTCTGGCTCGCCTTGCATTTCACCACCAAAATATTTTTAGTAATTCGCTGTACGAGAGGACCCGTGGGTTCTGTGGCCAACTGCCAGATGGTTTGCTTGGTTTCTGACGAGGCCTGCATTGCATTCAGGACTGAGCTCTTTAGAGTCAGAGGGGTGGCCTCTGCCTGGCAGTTCACTGCCAGCTTGATGTGCTGGCACTGGTTTTCCACAACACCCTGGGTGGCAGCTTTCAGGCAGGAGGGGACATAACACCGTCCAGAGCTCAGCTGAGTGATGATTGTCCCATCTACCGTCTGGATTGTCGTCTCTGAAACACCTAGTTCCACAAAGCATCGGTAATCGGGGCCCCGGTCTCTTTGTCGCACTGAGTAGACCTGCAGATCAGAGCCTGTTACGATTTTGACAGCTTCAACACTAGGCTGCTTCCGTGCACCGTAACGGAATATGGTTCCACATGTCTTGTTCTTACAGCTCAGTCCCCGAGTTCCATTGTATGTGCCGCATCGGGGACACTTTCTAATTCCTCTCAATGTGGCCTTCCCCAAATCAGATAAGAAAGCTGGGACTTTAGTCCTCAGAGAGTTTGGTTCCATTTTTCATAGGCCCCTAGAAAAGGCAATAAGCCCGTCAACATGAGTACACACACAGTTAAAATCACTTGTGATATTTAGTACAGAAAGTGAAATGTAAAGAAGCTATCCACTATTTTCAAATTGTACCTTCAAACACAACATCAGTTTAAGTCCTCAAACAAAATAAAACTGGAAGAAACTGTGCCTTTCATATCTCTATATATTTTTAAAAATCCTAATGTAACAACTAAAGCATTTCTCTAGGTTCAATCCTATTCTATAAAACAGCCTAGATTAGTTAACCTAATCTTTTTTTTTTTTTTTTTTTGTACGTGCCCCTAGCCGCTAGGGCCTACTGGGAACTGAACCCGGGACTCCATGGTCCTCAGGCCGAGGACACTCCAACCGCTGAGCCAAACCGGCCAGGGCAGTTAACCTAATCTTTTACATGCACAGATGTTTAACTTGAGCAAGGACTGGAGAATGGGAAAAGTTAGTTCTTTCCCTTCCACCTTTCCTCACAACACCCAGCCCAATCCTACCTGTTTCAGCTGCCAGAGCATTGGAAAACAGTGTGACCTAAATTCATAAGACCTAAAAAGGTGTTTCATTAGTTTGTGATGATCACAGAGGACAGGAGAAGACATAATCATTTACAGAGTAAAATGTTACTGTTTAACCCAAAATCTTCTTAAGTTTAAACTCCATAGTGTGACAATGAAGACATTCTGCATCCTCTTTGGCCAGTCAATGGCAAAGCTCCTGCCCAATGTTTCACAGTCAAAGACGATTTCCACTGCCCTATGTGGAGATCTTGGCAATCTATAAATAAAACGAGGAAAAGTATTAAAGCTATGTAAAGACAGAATGATTTTTTCCTCTCAGAATAAGAATCCAAGTCTTTCACAAATATTTGAGAAATATTTTACAGAATTGTTATGGGAAAGGTTGTTTTGTATTTCCAATTGCAAGAAAACAGTGCTAATGGCACTACACAGGGAGTTGTCAAGGAAACCTAGAGCCATAGCATATAATTGGTCAAACGTTCATCCTTCCTAATAGTAATACCTTGTATTTTTAGAGTGCTTTATGCTTTTCCAAGTGCTTTCACATTCATGATTTTATTTGTACCTCACAATATTAGTATCTTATTTAAGCCAAACAGCAACCATTCTTCAGATGAAAATTTAAAAGTTAAATAACTTGCCTGAGGTCACCCAGCAATATTAGCTATGTGGTTTACACTAACCCAGTATCTGTTAAGAAGAGTATGAATCTCTGCTTTTGATTTCCCCCCATTATGAACATTTTCAAACCTATTTAAAAAAATAGCTTATAGCCTGGCCGGCGTGGTTCAGTGGATTGAGTGTCCCATGGACTGAGAGGTCCCGGTTCAATTCCCAGTCAGGGCACATGCCTGGGTTTCAGGCTCAATTCCCAGTGGGGTGCGTGCAGGAGGCAGATAATCGAAGTATCTCTCTCACACAGATATTCCTATCTCTCTCTCTCCCTTATTCTCTCTCTAAAAAATCAATAAAAAACATAGTAAAAAACAAACAGATTATACAGTGAACCTCCATATACTCACCCACCAGATTCTACAATTAACATTTTACTGTATTTGCTTTATCACATATCTATTTCTCCATCACTCTCTCCATCCATCAATCCCCCTTTAACTTCGACACATTTCAAAGTAAGTTTCAGACATCAGTCAGCATGCATATTATTAATTAAGGTTCAACATTTTAAATGCTCTTTTAAAAAGGTATTCTGGCCCTGGCTGGTTTGGTTCAGCGGTTAGAGTGTCGGCCTGCATTCCAGAGAGACCTGGGTTCGGTTCCCGCTAAGGGCACGTACCTTGGTTGCAGTTTGTCCCTGGCCCTAGTTGGGTCGTGTGGGTGGCAGCCACTCGATGTTGTCCCTTTCATGTCATTGTTTCTCTCTCTCTCTCTCTCTCTCTCTTCTTCTCTCTCCCTCCCACTCTATCTGAATAAAAAATGAAAAAATGTCCTCAGATGAGAATAAAAAATTAAAATAAAAAGATACTCTGCTTGTGATTTTGATATAAGCTGTTAGCATCGCTTTTCCCCTTACATCTTCTATAGTCCACGGATGAATAAATTGAAAGGTACAAATACGAAGACTAAGAATGCCCAGCTGGTGTGGCTCAGTGGATTGAGTGTTGTTGTACTAGGGATTGAGAGGTCCCAGTTTGATTCCTGGTCAGGGCACATGCCCAGATTGCGGGCCCAGGTAGGGGGCATGAAGGAGGAGGCCGATTGCTGTTTCTCTCTTACATCAATGTTTCTCACTCTTTCTGTCTCTCTGCCTCTCCCTTCCTCACTCTAAGGTACAAAGATAATACAGAGGGTTCCTGTATACTTTCTGCCCAGCTTTCCCAAATAATAACATCTTAATAACCATCGGACATTTGTCAGAACTAAGGTTTTTGTTGTTTGTTTTTTCAAATGTTTTTATTGATTTTAGAGAGAGAGGAAGGGAGACAGAGAGAAACATCAATGAGAGAAAAGCATCAACATCAATTGGCTGCCTCCTGCACAACCCCTACTGAAGACTAAGCCCAAAACCCAGGCATGTGCTCTGACTGGGAATCAAACTAGCAATGTCTTGGTGCACGAGACAATGCTCAACCACTGAGCCACACCAGCCAGGCAGTGTTTTATTTATTGATTTTAGAGAAAGAGAGGAAGAGAGAAATAGCGACATGAGAAAGAAACATCAATCAGTTGCCTCCCATATGTACCCCTACCAGAGATTGAACCCACAACCTGGGTATGTGTCTTGATGGGAACCACATCTATGACCCTTCAATGCAGAGAACACTGCTCCAATGGAAGGAACCACACCGTCCAGGGCAAAACTAAGGTTTTAACATATGTACAATACTATTAACTCTACTACAGATTTTATTTGGATTTCAGCAATTTTTTCACTAATGCCCTTTTAACTTCATTTTAAAAAAAATAATTTATTAATATTTTTAGAGATAGAGAGTAGGGAGAGAGAGACATCGATGTGAGAGAGCAACATCAATTGGCTGCCTCCTGCACACCGCCCACTGGGGGCTGAGCCTACAACCGGATATGTGCCCTGGCCAGGAGTCAAACTGGCAACCTTTTGGTGCACGGGATGATGCCCAACCAACTGAGCCACAGTGACCAGAGCTAATGCCATTTTTTAAAAAAATCCTCACCTGAGGATATTTTTCCACTGATTTTCTTTCAGATAGAGTGGGAGGGAGGAAGGGGTAGGGGGAGAGAGAGACGAAGAAACATTGATATGAGGACATACTGATTGGTTGCCTCCTGCATGACCCAACAAGGGCCAGGGATCAAACTGAAAACGAGGTATGTGCCCTTGACCGGAATCAAACCCGACTCTTTGGTCCTTGGGCCAACGCTCTAACCACTGAACAAAATCCGGCCAGTGCTAATGCCAATTTTTTTTTTATCCTCACCCGAGGATATTTTTCCATTTTTTGTTTAGATAGAGTGGGAGGGAGAGAAAGAGAGAGACATCGATATGAAAGGGACACATCGAGTGGCTGCCACCGGCATGACCAACAGGGCCACAGACAAACTACAACCAAGGTACGCACCCTTAGTGGGAACCGAATCCGGTTCTCTGTGGACTGCAGGCCGACGCTCTAATTGCTGAGCCAAACCAGCCAGGGCTGCATATTCCTTTGGACTGAGGAAGTTTACTAATAAGAATTTATCTTACAAATATACTTCCACATGTATAATGAGTAACATACATACTCACTGAAGCATTTTTGTAACAGTAAAACATTAGAAATAACTTAATGTCCATCAAGAAGGAATTAAATTAATTATGGTACATGCGTATAATGGAATACATTCCAAAAAATAAAATACTTTATAGCCATTTAAAAAACAGACTGAGAAAGTTATGTATGTACTGATCTTTCAGAGCTTAAGAAATATTAAGTAGAAAAGCAAATACAGAACAGCATTTATAATACGCTGTCAACTGTGTATTAAAAAGGGGAAACATTTATGTTTATTTGGTATTAGCTTGTAAATGAAATACAAATGCTTAAAACTCTCTAAAAGGATAAACTAATAGGAATAGGGACCAGTAAGGGGGAAATTTTTTACTATATACCTCTTATAGGTTATGTTTGCTGACTTTAACCTGTTAACCGGGGAATTCCCTTTTTACTGTATGCAACATTTGACGTATTTATACGTCCCGCTCTGTTAACAGGTTAAACAAATAGTCAGGTATTTCTCCAGCAAAATGGGTTCATTCAGGAACAAAAAAGAATTATAATTTGGGACATGCAAACTTATGGCGAACTAGCAAGTCCAGAGAAACCAAAGAGAGAAATGCTCTTTTTATGGACTCCTGAGGGGCTACTGTAAATAAGGAGTCCATTGGAGGAAGTTGGAATTATAGTTGACTTTTCATTGGCTGAGTTATGGCAGTCTCCTGTTGGCTGAACTGTTACTAAGCAAGGAGGAATCTTTTTTCCCTCCTGCTTAAGTATAAAGTAATATTTTCTTTGGGAGATGCAAGGTAGTCTCTTCTTGTTGGGATCAGTAATGTACTTAAGTGACACGCGCTTGAGAGTTCTCTCTTTTAGCTTCCTGACTCCATTTTATTTCTTTCTTTATTTTTTTTTATTGATATTAGAGAGAGAGGGAGAGACAGAAACATCAGTAAGCAAGAACATCGACTGGCTGTCTCCTGTATGCCCCCACTAGGGATTGGGCCCACAACCTGGGCATATGCCCTGACCAGGAATTGAACTGGCGACCTCCTGCTGCATGGGTTGACACTCAACCACTGAGCCACACCAACCGGTGCTGACTCCATTTTAAAAGAGGTTTCTGGCCCTGGCCGATTTGGCTCAGCAGTTAGAGCATCGGCCTGCGAACTCATGAGTCGAGGGTTTAATTCTGATCAAGGGCACATATCTCTGTAGCAGTTCATCCCCAACCCTAGTTGGGGTTGTGCGGGAGGCAGCCACTCGATGTGTCCCTTTCATGTCAATGTTTCTCTCTCTCCCTCCCTCCCACTCTATCTGAACAAAAATGAAAAAATGTCCTCGAGTGAGGATTAAATAAATAAATAAAAATAAAAGAGGTTTCTGCCCTGGCCTGTGTGGCTCAGTTGGTTGGAGCATTGTCCCATGCATCAAAAGGTGGCAGGTTCAATTCCCAGCCAGGACATATACCCAGTTTTCAGGTCCAATACCCAGTCTGGATGTGTGCAGTAGGCAACCGATTGATATTTCTCTCTCACATCGATGTTTCTTTGTCTCTCTCTCTCTCCCCCTTCTACTCTTAAAAAATTTTTTTTTTAATGTTTAAGAGGTTTGTTTATTAATTTCCAAATTTTGAACCATTTAACCATATGAACTTTTAAAAAATGTAAATTAAAAAAATTTTAGAGTCATCTTACAAAATGATAATGCAAAAGCAGACTAAAAAGCTAATGACCCCTATAGTCACATTCCTACAGCTATCATTATACCTACCCAGCCCCCCATCCCACCCCCAAAAGAATCCCCACTCCTAAAGAGGAACTACAGTCAATAGGCTGGTGTATATCCACTAGTTTCTTTTTTTATGTTTATAAATAAGTAAATTTATGTAC